CCTCGGCCGGCCCAGCGCCGCCGGCGCCGAGGCCGCGGCCGAGAACTACGCGACCGCGCTCACGGAGGTGGCCGCCGAGAGCGACTCCCTCGACGCGACCGTGGCGGACATGGAGAAGCTGGAGAAGATCTTCGCGGAGGAGGCCATCGCCGAGTTCTTCGACAACCCCACCGTGCCGCGCGAGGAGAAGACGGCGCTCATTGACGAGATCGCCAAGTCGTCGGAGCTGCAGCCGCACACCGTCAACTTCCTCAACGTGGTCATCGACAACACCCGCGCCAGCCTGATGCCGCAGATCGTGCGCGAGTTCGAGACCGCCTACAACGCGCTCACCGGCACCGAGGAGGCCGTCGTCACCTCCGTGGTGCAGCTCGAGTCGCAGGACCTCGCGCAGATCGCCACGCACGTGCAGAACATCACCGGCGCCGCCAACGTCCGGATCAAGACCCGCCTTGACCCGGAGCTCATCGCCGGATTCACCGTGCAGTACGGCCGCGACAGCTCCAACTTCATCGACATGAGCGTCCGCAAGCAGATCGCGGAGATCACCTCCGAGTTCGAGATGCCCTCCGTCAACCTCGAAGTCTGATGCTTAGGTCCTCTTTTTTCTGCCGTCTCTATACATCTTCTTCTGTATCATTATTATCCGGTGAAATGTTAAAATACATAACTTGGTTCCAGCATTTGTAGTTTGTGTCAATTCCTTTTGAAGTTCACAGGAGAAAGTTCTGTATTATGTGTTGTGCAGAGGAGGGAAACCAACCTGCAAAACAGATTGGAACTAGGACCAAAGACGAAATGGGGACAAACTTTTCTGTTAGATTGTTGTCAGTAGAGTCAAGAGATCCATGCACACATATGCACTGCACAGCCTACATGCGTTAGTACATTGTAATTGTTAGAGCATCTCATCAGAAGTGGGATAGATTCAGTCCACATCAACACCAATGTCACTAGCTTGAGTGTATGCAGTTGCAATGTTTGCTGCATTAGGATTGTGTGCAGTCGAATAAGAATGTTCCTAAGCCTTAACTCCCAATCTGTCAGTGTAAACTAGGGTGAACTGCCAGTTATTCTATGAGAACTATCCACCTAACCAGTGATGGTTTTTCATTCTTTTGCAGTAATTGATGCGACAAGGATTTGCAACACCCAGTAAGGGCGTTGATCTTCTTCAGACCTGGAGATGCGACGGAGGGATTAAGGCATTCTTTTCTGCAAAATATAGTAATGACATAAATCATTTTTTCGGCAGGAGCCAGCCACTGTAATTTTCTTTTTTGCCTTTGTGCTGTTGAGATCTTGTAAAATAATATGCTCCAAAATACTCAACTATAGCAGAGTTTGCTCCTCCATCTTCAGGCGACAAAGTTAACAGCATGTAATGTATAGCTATGTATCCGACCGATCAAGTTGTGTGCAGACGTGTATAGCATGTGGCATTGCTATCAACTGGCAACCAAGATCATGTTGCATTCTGAATTTCCACTTCGTCGTGTCCATCCATGACTTAAAGCTCGAAAAGGCGTCAGGTGTGATTTGTTCAGCTGTTCTACTTCGGTTGCTCCTACAAATACGCAGTTCTGTGTCTTTGTCACTATGCTGTGTAGTTGTTCTGGAATCCCATCCCCAATCCGTATTGTGTCTTCCTGCATTGCTTAGCCATGGCCATACCCTTCAAAGGAGGTCTGTAAATTGTAATCGTGCATTGAGATAGTTCTGTAACTTCGGTTGGCAGGTTTCTGTCATCATCAGAGGTAAGGAATGTGGCTTCTGAGACATCTCGGAGATGTTTAAGCCCACTATATTACAAGACGTTGGCTCCTTAACCACTTGCCATACCTTCATAGGATACGCATAACACGTCCAGGCTGAGTATGGTTACCATATCTAAATTAATGGAAGAATGGAGTCACAGCGGATCCGTGGCGCAATGGTAGCGCGTCTGACTCCAGATCAGAAGGTTGCGTGTTCGATTCACGTCGGGTTCAATACCCCCCGATCCTAATCCGGTTCCTTTTTTTTATTTATGCCTATTTAATACCACGCAAAATCCACCGTCCATCTCCCCAATCAAAGCATCCCAGCCGTCCTAAACCCCCTAATCTCCCCTCCCCTGTCCAGACCCCAGAACCTCTCCCTTCCCTGGCAGTGCTTGGGGCTCATTCTGAACTTGCATTCTTATGTGGCGTTGCTATCAAATAGGAAATGAAATCTAAGATCATGGATCTCTTTCGCTGCTTCTGTTGCTCCCAAAATTACAAAGTTTTGTGTTGTGTCAGTCTGCCTTGTCGTGTTTTGACTTCCCATCCCTTCTTTTCTGCACTTTTTGCTCGACTAACCACCAGACCATGACCACATCGTCCGACGTAGTTGAAATTCATGCGTATTATTTGTTCATTAGCACGAAACTTCGAAACGATTGTAAATTGTTGGTTGGTTGGTTCAAACTGCTTTACCACGTATAAACCACAAGACGAAGGAATCATAAAATATCATTCACTGAAGCTAGTTTTTTTTTGCGATGGAATTGAAGCTATTTTTGTTGCAGATATATTATGCTACCTCGAAAAGGCATGTGACTCCTCAGAGAATTTCAAACCCATACTCCCTCCATCCTAAAATGTAAGTCCTATTTGTTTGACTCTAAGTTAACTTTCTTAAGATTGAGAAACTTTATATAAATAAGTATCAATAATGCGAAATGCTCCTCGCAATTTTTTTAGATACATGCCAAAATGCACCACGAAATGCAGCACTGTAAGGCCGAGGCATAGCTCGAGGCCGGATGAGCTGATGCCGCCTTCATGGCCGAGCTCCTCAAGGACCCGCAACTCGTCACGAAGAACCGTGCGTTCTTCCATTCCGTGGAGGATAGAGCTACTCTTTTATATGTCTAGTTCTATTTAGTTTATCTTGATGCTTTAGCTAATTCCATGTCGATGTAGTGGTAATGTAGTAGGTAATGGACTGTTTAATTATGCTATGTATGATGTTAATGTGGTATTACTGTTCAATTATGCAATGAATTGTTTAAATTTTGCGTGGCAAAATTTTATTCGAGGAATTAAGGTTTGGGGATGGGCTAGTTGAGCAAAAAAATTAATTCCCCCCAAAACAAGGAATTAAACTATGGGATGAGGTAGAGATGTCCTAATTGTGATGAGCTAGTAGAGATTCCTCGCCAGCACAGATGAGAGGACAGTCAACTCGATGATCTACATGATCTCAATGGCGCATTACTTAATACTATGCCTATAAAATAGAGGAGAGAAACTCTTCTTCACGAGTACCACGTTCTCCCCTCAACGTATGGAGATAAAGAAACGCAAGCGCGAAGCAATTGTCAGTTCGGCGAAGCTCCGGCCGGTCGTAAAGCTCCTCCCGTAGCTGGGTAGCAGCAGCTTTGGGGGGAGGAAATGAAAGGCGGCTTTGTCGTCGACGGGCCGCTCTTGGTCCTGGGTCGTGTGCTCCTCCTCCTCCTCCTCCTGCCGGTTGCTGTTTGGTTCGTGCTGGACGTATCCCCGGTCCTCACGTACTCCGGCAGCATAATAACGGCCAGACATCTTCCCCAGGCCCAAGGTACGTACGTGAAACGGAGTCGCCGGGTGTAAAATCATGCCGTCGTTGTCGTCGTCTTGGTCCGCCCATGCATCCATCGATCTCCCCCCGTCTTCTTCTATCCTTCTTCATCTTCACCAGTTGTCAAGCTCCATTGTTCCACGTCTTCTTATTTCACCACAAGCTTTGTGTGATGAGTTGTTTCTCCAGGCACGGAGATTTCACGGTTTCAACTCTGTGCACATCGATCGAATTCTCCCCCGGTGTATATAATAGTGACAGAGTGTTGTTTGGTAATTGATAGCCTGTAGCAACTATGCAAAGGGCAAGTGGGTAGCGGATGCGAGGAGGCCGCTCTACTCCGGCAACGAGTGCAGGCGATGGCTGTCACGAATGTGGTCTTGCCGCAGGACGGAACGCACAGATTTCTCGTACGAGAGCTACCGGTGGCAGCCGCATGACTGCGAGATGCCCGACTTCTCAGGGCCAAACTTTCTGCAACGGTACGTGCTCCAATCATCTGCGCCCTTCTCCAATAGATTTTGCCGCGAAGACTCGTCGATCGTAAGTTGTAACATATCCATGGCGATGCCTATCGTAAGTTGTAACATATCCATGGCGATGCCTGATGACAGGATGAGGAACAGAACTCTGGCATTCGTGGGCGATTCGCTGGGCAGAGAGCAGTTCCAGTCCATGATGTGCATCGCGACAGGCGGCAAGCGCAGCCCCGAGGTTGAAGACGTTGGCCGGAGATACGGCCTCGAAAAGGCCCCGTCGCCGTTCAGTCCGGGCGGCTCCGCCTACCGCTTCCCAGAGACCAACACCACCATCCTCTTCTACTGGTCCGCCACCCTGTCCCAGCTGGAGCCTCTGACGGACGAGAGGAGGAGCTACGCGCTGCACCTCGACCGGCCGGCGCCGTTCCTGAAGGAGCACCTCCCCAGCTTCGACGCCCTGGTGCTCAACACCGGCCACCACTGGAACAAGGTGAAGTTCCGCAGGAACCGCTGGAGGCTGTACGACGGCGGGAAGCCGGTGGGGGAAGCGAACCTCAGCCGTGCGAGGGGCGCCAAGCTCCACAGCATCGCCAGGTGGGCGGACGCGCAGCTCGCGCGGCACCCTCGGGTGAGCGTTTTCCTGAGGACCATCTCGCCGGTGCATTTCGTCGGCGGCGAGTGGGACACCGGGGGGAGGTGCGACAGCACCGTCCCCTTGTCCGGCGGCAGCGGGGTCTCGCGGGATCGCTCGAGCGACCTGGCTGCGGAGCGCGCGGTGAACGGGACTCGGGTTAGGCTCCTGGATGTCACCGCGATCTCGCAGCTGCGCGGCGAGGGCCACATCTCTAACCATAGCACCAAAGTTCAGAGGGAGGTTTATGATTGTTTGCATTGGTGCCTTCCGGGCATACCGGATACGTGGAATGAGCTCCTTTTTGCACTGATGCAGTAACTGTAGATATGATGTATACGCTTCAGTAAATGTGATCTTTTTGTGTAGGGCACTCCAGTTTTTTTTTTTAAAATGAAATCCAATCCCATATATACGATGGTCTGTTCTCAGTACACATGGCAGCGTGGGGGCTAGCGATGAGGAGTCTTCGACCAAGGTGCACTGGAGATTAAGCAGTCATGGCACCGTTGCAGCCAGTGCGCACATGAAAGCAATCGCAAGGGTGCACCGCTATAGGAAAGAGGCAATGCTACTGCATAGTGGTGATGCGAGACAATATGAATACAAGTATGGCACATACATAAATTTGTTCAAGAAATACAATGTGAAGCAACTATTCAGATTTAGTAATCTACAACAAAATCAGATTTAGTACTCAAGGTTTAGGCAATGAACGGCCTTCGACAATTGAGTCGTTTCTTTTCTTTTCTGTAGTTTGACTGAACTTGTATCATGAACCATCGTCACCTAAATCTTTTACAAGAAAATGTTGATCAGCTGAAAGAACAGATCAAGAAAGCATCTCAGCTTATGTCCATGCATCTAATAAAATTCAAAATTGTCGATGGGCACACAACACGGTTCTTCATTGGAAAATAATCTATGAATTCGTATGGTGTTTTTCTTGTTTTAATTAGTACTCCCTCCGTCTGGAATTACTTGTCGGAGAAATAGATGTATCTAGATGTATTCTAGTTCTTGGTACATCCATTTTTGCGACAAGTAATTCCGGACAAAGGAAGTACATGACAACAAACTTTTTTCCTTTGAAATGGATACATGACAGTGAAAGAAAAACAATGGCTGATATTTAACAAACCTAGATTGATTTCGTTTTGGATCCACCGAGTAGAACTTGGGGAATAGGACCTGCGGGATGTGCCTTTTGATCCATCGGTTGATTGTCGTTTTGACCAGTTGGGGCGTATTGAAGCATTGAGAGACTTAGATATAGATTTTCGAGAACTGAAGAAGAAAGGGGCTTGCAATCTATGTGAGGAGCCTCCGCTGCCGATGACGATACGCGAGTGCCCTATTTACTTTGGTAATACGGAGCAGATGTCACCAAGAGATCATATCATAATTCTTACACATTTCTATTTGGCGTCCTCAGCGCCCGTTAAAGGCAATTTGACAAACCGGCGCACACCCCCTCCTTTGGCCTGGGCTTGGGCCATTTACGGTTTTGTTTGTTCTTTTCTTCAAACTTCAAAAAAATATGTGTAATTCTAACCACGACAACCAGCTGGGACACACCACACCTTATGTGACTACCTACCTTTTTTTGTGTGCAGCAACTTGTAACACTAAAAAGAGGACTCCGGTTTTTTTTCTGCTTTCTTTGGCCGGTTTTTCTTTGGGTTCTACTTGGTTTTTTTTGCACGGCAACTTGTAGCTCTAAAAGTTCATGGAGTTTTTTCAAATCTGTAAACTTTTTTTTTCAAATTCATGAACTCTTTTGAATTTGGGAACATTTTTCAAATTCACACACTTATTCACAGCACGTGCTCGCAAGAGAAAAAATTGCTTGTTTTTCTTTTTTGAAAAGAAAATCGCTTGATGGGTCTAATGATTAGTTCGCAATGTCAACCGAGAGCAGCAGTCGAGCGAGTTACATGGGCCACGTCCCACTAGGGGAGCGCCTGAGCGCCAGCTAGTCCTCGCGGTGCTTAAGGCGCCAACGAGGAGCTCTCTAATTCTTAGCTGTAAAAATTACTATGTGGTAATTTTTTGGATCTTGGATCCAATTTTTTTGTTGCGAATAGAGCACGAATAAAATTACATGTGTTTTCTGGAAAAGAAAAAAACACGCATCCACACAATCATCATCATTTTATTCATTCTTGGTAGGAGTACATGCAACAGAACGACGACGTGAACCCAGACTCGCACAGATAGATCAACATATCAAGGGCAGCACCATGCATGCAGATTCTTGTGCCGCCGCATGCTTTGCTGCTACATGCATTACTAGTTAGGTATACATCATCTTACGTACGCTTTCCCGACGGCGGCTCCGTGGGGAGGCGGTGGCGAGGAGGAAGAGATGATTTCACCGCCTTCCACGACGACGAAGAAGGGGGCTTTGGCACCGGGAAGGGCTCTGTAGGGAATCTTGGAGGGAGCCGCCACACCTTGGCCGGTGCCGTCGTTGCTGAATCGACACCTGCTGCTGCTGATGCTGATGACACCGTGGTCAGCAGCAGCACCACTATCGCCGCCGCAACGACCCAGACCCACCGGCCACCAGACCTCGCCATGGTTGACCCGTCGGCTCTCTCGATCTTGATCGGTGTCTGCGTCAGGGGATGGATGATGGATCGACTCCACAAGTTCATTTGCGATCCTCTTGATTTATAGACGGCCGGTGACGTGAGATCTAAGTGCAGTGGTAATGGCGCGTCGTATAGGCATGTGCCTGCTGTTTGGCAAGAAAGATTTGCCAGTTAATTGAAATACGCATTCGTCAAGAGTCGGTGCATGCATGCCCGGCCGTATCCATGCAACCTGCCGTCCAATTTATTCACGCTCATTCCTAGTAGTATATAGCGTGATTCTTCATTCACTTGAACTGGTTTGGTTGAGCTAGTTAGCAGCCCGGCCGGCCGAACTCGCAATTAAGAGCATGCTTGGATACGTTTTAGTCCCATGACTAAAAGTAGTGGGACTAAAACTTGCTAGTCTCACCCATGCTTGGATCCAAATACTAAAGAGACTAAAATCTAGTTATTGAGCATTTATTATCCTCCAAACCCTCCAATCCAGAACTAAGGAGAGAAATTAAATGAGGAGAGAGAGAGCTAATACATATTTTAGTAGGTTTCCCATGACTAAAAGATTTTAGCCTCAAGACTAGTCCTAGCCTCTCTTTAGTCAGGGGTGCTTGGAACTTTAGCCTCTAAAAGAGACTATTTTTAGTCAGACTAAAAATAGTCCTTTGTATCCAAGCACCCTCTAATTCATAGTATGCGGACCTCTTTCGAGATGATCCTATGTAAGAGTCTAATGAAATTAGACCATTACCAGTCGTCAATTCGTGCATCCGGACGATCTAGGATAAAATGTACTGTAAGCCACTATTAAAATTGAGAAAGTAAGTACACGACTTTCTCTCATTTTCTCCCCTGCCTCCAGGCGGCTAAGGCAAACTCTCCCTTCCAGGCTTCATCGATGAGCCCAAGGATTTGTCTCCCTCTGCCTACCGTTCCGGTGGTCAGTGGCGGGGAGGAAAATTCCGGTGCATTCGCTCTGCTTAGTAGTTTAGGTTAGGGTATTTTAGTCCTCGCAAGTGCGGTGCTCAGACGAATGGTGGCGCTTCTTCTTCAAGTTTATCTTCGGGCCACCAATTCTCCTTGAGTTCGTCTGTCTGGACGTAGTCGACGGAGCTCCGAATAGATTCATGTCGTCTTTTTCGGGCGGTGAAGTTAGTGTTTCTTCTCATGTGGCGACATTTGGTGTCAGGTGCTTCAAATCTATGTAAGGGCTCGACGGCGACGACTGCAGCTCCAGGAAGCTGGTCCTTAGGGATATGTGCATGAGAACTTTTTAATTGTCATCGACAAGGTCAAGCCAGCTTCCTGTAGGCAGGGCCGGCCCTGGGCCATGGCAACAAGTGCGATGGCCTAGGGCCCAGCCCGAGCAGGGCCCATACCATGTGCATGTATAGTATATATTACCTACGTGAGAAAAGCGAGGCCAGCCCATTAGAAAGCGAGCAATTCATGCACGAATCCATCGCCCTCGCTGTGGCGTTTTCCATCGCTCTCTCGCACAAACACGCCGCCAATTCTAGATCAATTATTTGCTGATGATTCCCTTATCTTTATGAAAACCGATATAAAAAATGCAACCTTATTGAGACAGGTTCTAGATCAATATTGTGCAAGTTTAGGGCAGTTGGTAAGCGGAGCAAAGTGTAGCATTTATTTTAGTCCTAATGTGAGTGTTGAAACAAAAGCAAATATTTGTACCGAGCTTAATATCATGTCTGAAGCACTTTCAGATAAATATTTAGGACTACCGGCTATGATAGGGGTGGATAGAAGTGACAGTTTTGTGCACTTGTTAGAGAGAATTATTTGTAGACTGAAAACTTGGAATGAGAAGCTTCTGTTATTGGGAGGAGTAAATAGCATAAAACTACTAGTTTATTGGCTAGGGTTTAAAAAAATTATGACTTTTTATTTTTTTTCTCAAAAACCTACCAGTCGTGCGGTCCGTTGTTTCAAAAACCCAAACCCGCGGTGACTAGCGATTTAACCATTTCCCTGACCGCCTGGACCCACCTGTCAGCCCACGTGGCCACGCGCGCTCACGGCGCGGCCTTTGACGGCCGTTAGGCCGGCCGGTCCGGTCGGAAAGAAAGGAGCCGGTCGGGCCGCACTCTCTCTCCCAGTCTCCCCCTCCTCCCCCCTTCACTACAAAAAAAAGACACATCCGTGACATTTTGGGCCGAACGAATTTTTTTTCTGTCATACATATGACACTTCTATGACGATAATTGGACAAAATCCGGTATCATCATAGATGTGGTGGGCTCCTACTTCTATGATAAAAAATCATGACAGAAAATGGGTTTTTCATCCTGGACGGGCCGGAGACACAACTGCATGACATTCTTTGGGCCGTCCATGACGGAAAAAACCGTGGTAGAAGCGAGGGCGAGGAAAATTTCGGGGAGTTCCCGGTTACGGTGGAAGGTCGGGGGCCGGACGATGTGCGTTTCTCTCGTATACATACGCGCGTGTGTGCGAGGCGTTGGCTCTAACTGAACCCGAGCGAGGCGTTGGGCTCTAACTGAACCCGAGCGATTGCACTGCAGGCTACGCGTTACTGAACCCGAGCGATCAATCGATGGCTGTTAACTGAACCGGATCGAGCGATTCCTTCGCTACTGCTGCTAACTGAAGC